CCTCCTCCTCCTCCTCCTCCTCCTCCTTCTTCTTCTTCTTCTTCTTCTTCTTCTTCTTCTTCTTCTGTGCAGCTGACTCCACCTCCTCCCAAGGCTGCTGCTTTCTCTCTCTCTCCCTCTCCTGCCCAGACTGCCTCCTTTTATAGCCTCTCCTTTCTCCACCCCCCTCCTCCTTTCTCATGGGGGAGGGTGAGCCAGAAGTGAGCCTGGGGCCTTTGCAGCTCCAGAGGACTCTCTCACTGTAAGTCCTTGCCTGTGCTGGCTCTTTCCCTCCCCCACTACACTTGGCTAGGCAGGGCTGCGTACCACCTGCCACTCATTAATGTACCACAAGTGGTACATGTACCACTGGTTGAAAAGCCCTGTTATATAGGACTATATTTGTGCTCGGATCTATAACAAGGCCCTCACAATGATCAAGCAATGTGTGATTTGTCGATGTAATAATCCTGTGGAAATTATTAAGTTCCCCTTGGGGAGGCTTGGGGCTGGCCAGGCTCCTGCTAGTTTTTGGGAAGTTGATTTTACTGGGTTGCCATGGACGCTGGGTTTTAGGTACTTGTAAGTTTTTGTGGGTGCTTTCTCTGGATAGAATGAGGCCTTTCCCTGTCATACTAACAAGGCACGTGAGGTGGTTAAGGCCCTCCTGAAGGAAATTATTCCACGTTTTTCCTTCCCATACCAAGGCATTGGCTCTGACGATGGACCCCACTTTATCTCTGACATTACCCAGCAGGTGTCTCAGGCCCTAGGTATTGCTTGGCAGCTTCTTTCGGCCTACAGGCCCCAATCTTCGGCACACGTGGAAAAGGCCTGTTCCCCTTTGAGATCATGTATGGTTGGCCCTTTCTTTACTATTCTTCCTTCTCTCTCTTCTCTTTTTGGAGACAAGGCCCTCAGGGAATATATGCACTCTCTTGCTTGTAATGTTTCTTCCATTTCTCAAGCTGTTCAGGCCCTCCATTATCCAGGATTGGATCATCCACTCCGTCCTTTCCTTCCTGGTGGTTGGGTGCTTGTCACATCCTGGTCTGATTCTGGCCCTTTGGCTGAATGCTGGAAAGGCTCCTTCATTGTTCTTGCTACTCACACAGCAGTTGGGATTCGTACTTGGATTCATCACACCTGCCTTCGCTCTTCTTCCCCACCGCCCAATGCTAAGGACCACTGAGTTGCTTGGACTGTTGCCCCTGGTGCTGAGGCTGACCTTGGGCTGGAGCATTTGTTTCACGGACTATGTTGACCTGAATGCCAGGACATTTTGATCGCTGCAATACTTGTGCCTTCCGGGCTTCTTCTCCGGCTATTTTCTCTCACCAGCTCCCTGCTTACTTGTGTCGCAGATGTTGCTCCTCTCTGCCTTGGTTTCCATCTTGTACTTTGTTTGAATTGTTCATTTCTTTTCTGTTACACTATGTTGTTTTCCTCTTCATACTCTGAGTTTCTCTTTCTTCCTTCTTTCTTCTGTGGAGCTTGCTCTTCCCTTACAGGGGGTGGGTGGGTTATGGAAAGAGTGGTCAAGTTCGTGGTCAGGTTCTGGTCATGGTCAAGGTATGTGACATGACTATGGGGACAGCTGCTGTGGACTGGGATGGGTCAGATTGTACAATCTGACACACCCTCCAAGCATGAACTCTCCTGTTGCTTTGCCATAACCCGTGCCCCCCCCCCACTATATGTTGGCAAGGACGGTTTCTTCTTACCCATGGTTGGGAGAGTCCAAACACTGGACAGGAAAACCCAAAAGCCGCTTCTTGAGTATCCTAACCTGAAAAGATAGCTCTAGGATTTCAGCCAGATGCTCCCCAAAACACTGATGCTGGACCTAAGTTCATGCCTGAAAAGCATAAGGAGCTACAGACATCCTTCCCCATCTTTCCTAGTAACATGGAGGGGCAGAGTAGTTCCCAACACCCATATGCAGAATGCACCGGCTTGGGTTAAACTCTTGAATGTAATGGACTGTTGGATTTCCACCCACATAACCCCAACTGGTACCCATGGATTGGTTATGGAAGCTACACCTCTGGAAGCCTCTATGTTCAGCATGATCATTGTCACAAGGGGCTGGGCACTCCCTGGGTTTGGGGGCAGGAAAGCTGCAGATTGCTCAACTATACAGCACCCTGCAGCAGCTTGCCTTAGTCATTTTACTTCTTCTTCCAGATATAAGTTAGGGATTTATGCACCTTGCATGGTCACATGGAAGGTGAGTACTAGCATGTGGGATGGAGGGCATAAATGTCATCAGACCTTTGGTCTTGACTACAAAAAGGACCCCTCTGCTCTTTGTAGTCTGTTTGCAGCAATAGGACTTATAGCTTATATGTCTGGTGTCAGAGCTTCTATGCCTGAGGGGTTAGAAGGCAAACAAAACGTTTATCTGACTAACCACCCGGATTGGTGGTTCCTTTGTGGTCTGTTTGCCTACAAGTCTTTGCTAGCTTACTGGTCAGGTACATGTACTGTAGGAATGATCTTTTCCTCAGTTTGTATCATCTGACATGATTGGAACTTCCGCATCCACAATCGACGGGACGAAGACCACCTTGAGCATAAAGAACGTATTGAACACCATCCTGTACCTCATGGCCTAGGAAATGCCATTGCATGAGCAATAATCCCAGCTATGGGGGTTGGTTTGAATTGTAAATTTATTATAGAATTAGGTGACTGGACAGGCATTTACACAATTCAATAAGGAACAGGGAGAAATAAGGGAAGTAGTGTTGCAGAATTGCTAAACATTAGATATGGCACTAGCAGCAAAAGGAGCGGTGTGTGATTTGGTCCACTCAGATTTTTTTCACTGATTATCAAGTTAATATTAGTCACACCATCCATCTCATGGAAGGAGGAATCAAGAATCGCCCTAAGGATCTGGAGATTTTCACTGATGCTGTATGGGAGTCTTCAGTAGTATATTCTCATTCGTTACCAGTTGGCTCCCAGGATGGGGATGGTTTAGGGCAGGGCTTTTCAACCGGTGGTACGCGTACCACTTGTGGTACATTAATGAGTGGCAGGTGGTACGCAGCCCTGACTAGCCAAGCTGAAATAGCCCTGAATACTTTAAAAGGTAACCTGCCTCTGAAGCCTTCATAATACCAGAATTTAAAGAGAAAGAAAGACTGTATTAAAAAGCTGAGTGATAGAAAACTCTCACTCAAAAAGAAGAAACAGATTATTCTTCAGTCAGGGGGGGTCTATCAGTCCATTACTAGGGGCTGCTGACTAACCTATTAGTCAGGTAACATGAAGCATGCCGAGAAAATATATTTGGTGTCACGTCATCAGATGGAGCAGTTACAAGACAGGACTCCTACGATAGGGACTACTGCACCTAGCCAGTTGGATGGTGACATGTGGTCCATTCTTCAGAGATTGGATCTAAGTGAGGACATCAAGATAAAGCTCTACAATTCGGTTCTGCAGTGGTTTCTAAGGCTGTTCAGACAAAATGAGTCTCAGAAGGACACTCTGAATCTTATTCATCTCCCAGAAGACTTTAGACAGCTCCCCGCGTTACTGGAACCATCTCTGCATCCCCCACCGTATGACCCAACAAAACAGGAGATATTAGATGGGGTGAGCACATGTTACAAGAAAAATGCTGAACTTTTGTTGAACAAAAATGAGACAGCATCGGGACATCTTGGACTGGGATGAACATGGTATGGTTTTATACAAGGAGACCCCAGTTCTTGGAACTAACATTGTAGACCTAGTCAAAGGGGCTTCTCAACACCGAGCACATACTGTGAAACACTATCCTAAAGGCTGGAACGCATTTATGAGTGCTATGGCAGAGATGAATGTTCCAACAGTATTGCTGGGGTCTAACTCTGTTAAAGAGCAACGAGAAAAGCTGAAAGAGGCTGGGAGTTTTAAGGTTGTAAGTGTTACTAAACCTCCCTCTGTTACATCTGCACCTGTTGAGATGCCTATAGTATGTCAACTCCTAAAACTGTTCTAAAGTTTGGTGACTGGCTCCAATTGTAAATGAATAAAAACACTGTAAAATAGGCAATGAGTTTAACGTTTTGTGTTTATTTTATAACAGGCCATACATGTTTGCATACATTGATAACTGCTACATGTTCCAGGACTCCTTCCCTGCATCATATTTACTACAAAATGCTTCACCATTTGATCATTTTTGACATCGTTTTCAGAGTACAGCTTTAAAACATCTTCGTAAAGTAACCATTTAAAACACTTAAGTAGAAAAAACACACAGTGCTGGCTGCAGGTTATTGCCTGGGGATGTTGCAGTTGAAGTGGATGAAATGTGTACTTCTTAGCTTGCGGCTCTAAAAACTTCACAATGTCACTGGGAAAGGCGGTGTTATCCTAACGTGGTCACCCACCTTGAGACTTTTTAACTTTCTGGTAGATTTTAGGATTTTTCCATACAGTCTTGTCCACACATCTCTTTTGTTAGATAGATTTACGGTATTTGGAGCAGCCTGGATGCTGCGATGGTAAGTGCTATTGTAGCCCTGAAGGAGAGGTGATAAAATATCTACATAACTGTATTTTTAGCTGTAAAATATCTCCAGAGTTTATTTTTCAGAGTGCGATTAAACCTCTCTATAACAGCCACTTTACTCTCACTATGTGTGACAAAATGGTGTATGCCATAACGTGTTAAAAGCTTCTTCAGAGGCTTATTTAAGAACTCTTTCCCTGCATCTGTCTGTAACTTTCTGGGTGCTCACCCTGTTTTTAATTCACAGGGCAGACAAAAGGGCCTCTATGATGGCTTCAGAGCATCATCGTTATCATCATCAGTAAGTATGCTGCAAATACACTTTGTAGGGTACAGATCACTGCCAAAGACATCTGTAGATTCCTCATCACTTGAGATATATCTTAAAAATGATACATCCATGTCACAGTTATATCCAGAACAGTCTGCATAAATATAAAAACATAACCTATTACTGTACTGCAGCCACCAGCAAGTATTTTACTGCTTAATATATAAAATTATCAACATTACCATAATCTTTATTATTAGTAGGTAAAGTAAAAAACATGATGTATTCCTAGATTACCTCCACAGGGGTCTGCAGACTCTTCATCACTTGAGATGTATTTTATTAAGAAGGGATTGATGTTAGGGCCATAGCCCGGAACAGGACCTGTAAAATGTATTAAATCATTACCTATCACTGGGCTATCAGCATCATCATGTATTTACTGCTGAATGCATAAAAAAAGTTTACTTACTCCTACCAGTTCCTTGGACAGGAGATAAAGACCATCTCTTCACCATTTCACAGGCTGTCTGGTAAGTATTGTCGAGTCCATCCGCATCTCCCCATTGCCCATCATGTACATTACAACAAGGTAGGCAGCATCCAAACAAAATAGGTCTGAAGTAACTCAATTCTTTATCATAAATAAAACAACATGCTTTACTGCAATCTGTCAAAAGAGGTCTTGACTTGCCCCATGATGTAGAAAGGTTAGCATCTCCTTTATTAAGCCCTTCTGAGGGATCCATGTTATTATTAAATGGTGGCTAGGCTTTAAACGGCTGAAATTCACGACCGCCTGCAGAGTCTCCTTTTATCAGACCGTGAAAACCAGGACACACCTGAGACAAGCCCAAACATGCACTGAGCACACCTGTCACATACACGGCTACACGCTTCATGAGCATGCATGCTAACACACCTCTACAGCGCTTGCTCAGAATGCTATCCTGGGGCAAGCCCAAACATGACCTGTGCACAGTTGTGATAAACACACATGCACATAAGGCACACAGCCCTGCTCTGACACGTATTTATGTCATTTTACGTTTAGCTCCTAGCACCTCAAACCCCTCCCAATAGTCTTTTTTTCTTGTTAAGGGCCTCTTTGGCTGCAGCTGTATTTGATGATTTACTGTGAGCTAGTGTGACAGCACAGTCACATTCCCTCCCCCTCCCCCCTCCCCCCCTTAATTTATTTTCCTGCCTTTTAATGCTATACCTGAAGCCTTTTGGAAAAGCAAAACACAAAAAGGCTTTTTGCAAAATAGGATTTATTTTTACATCTATTCAGTGTAAAACACCCTAGAAAAGAAGAGGAGACAAGGCTCAAATTCCTTGCATTACAACAGCAACCAAGGGCCAGGGTTGCTTAGTTTGTTTTGGTATTGCTTAAAAGCCTTCCTGGACTGTATAAACAAGCCGGCAGTTTTGGGTCACATATGGCTCATGCCAGCTGCTGCTCAATCAAAAACACTTCTGGGTTTTGTATTGGGGACATGTGCTCAGGCTGTCATTCATTTTGATTCAGCCAATGGGAAGCCCTTCTGAGGCAGAGCAACAGCATCATAGGTGGCTGCTGTCAATCACCACCCCTGCAGATATGGGCCAATGAGAAATACTTCAGGTGAATAATCAATATGTGGCAATACTTCTGGGTAAAAGGGCTTGTGGGACAGGGAGGGGTGGAGTGGAATGATGTCACAGTACTTCCAGTGAAAGGGATTGTGGGACAGGGAGGCTGGAGGGGAGTGACATCACAGTGAAGGGACTTTATTGTGCTTATGATTTTATTATGCTTAAGCTTGATATAAAGTAATCATTTTATATTGATATTAGTAGTGTTATTTTGTAGCCATCTTATATAAAGTAATCATTTTATATTGATATTAGTAGTGTTAGTTTGTAGCCATCTTATATAAAGTAATCATTTTATATTGATATTAGTAGTGTTAGTTTGTAGCTATTTTATATAAATTTCCTTACATGCAAGCAGCCTTATAGATAGAAGCAAGTGTTTCATGTATATTGAAAAAGCAAATGTCCCATGTCAAATATACAGGAGATTGCTCAGGAGATTGCTTACATGAAAGGAGCAAGGAGGGGTTCAGTGGTCCAGGAGATAGGGAGGGGGAAGGTGAGTTAGCCTGGATTGATGTATATGAGTCATCATTATGGAATTTGTTTTTCGGTGCTTCCTTGCTCCTGGTACAGAGACTTGAATCTCTTTGCTCTGAAAAGGTATAAAAAGTGGAAGAAGTGTCTTCTGGGTGTGCCTTCATCCCTCTAAGCAGCCACAAAGAGGGAGAAGGTTACCCAACTCTGTCTTGGCCAAAATAAAGTTGTTTTCTTTGCTGAAACCTCAGCTCAGGAGTTTCTTTTGGCTCTTTGAAATTTTTGAGTAGCGCAGAGAAGTTTGTGAGGCTGAGTGGAAAACCTTACAACAGTCCTCCTGGGGGGGGGGAATGCAGAATCACTAAGGGGTGGAGTTAAAGCTGCACTAAAAATGGTATGTACTACATACTACTTCCATCCCCTCCCATCATGCAGAACCTGATGATGGCTGTCTGTCTGTATTAATGTTGGTCCTGCTAGTTTCCTCATTTTCAATGTATGTCAACCTATACGACAGTAAAATCACTACAAGAACAAATGTGATAAGCTACAAAATTATAGTGGTAAAGATAGTGTTTCCTCTGGCATTTAGTCCTGTAACTGATGAAGATTCCAATGCCAAATTGGGCCCCAGTGATACAGCCTTGAAGCTTCCATCAGTGTCCACAAATTTGCAATCCTACAATGAAAAGCCAATGTAAAGATCCAGCTTTGCTGGCTTCTCCTTCTGCTTAGCCCAACTTATCTACTACTTTAAATTTGAACATCCTTAATGGAGCAACGGGAAGTGATTTCCCTGGAGAATTTACATTCCTGGGATCTAGAACACGTAACTATATTGTTGTATCTAAAATACTTAATTTAATAATCTAATTTCAGGTAACAATGACCATCCCAGACAGTGATAATCTCCCATTATTTTTAACTTTAATGTTTCTTGAAACATACACGCATCTTAACAAAACTTATCAAGTCAATTTAGGAGGGTGAAGGGTGGCAGGAGAGCTAAATGGACAGCATGTCCAAGTAAAGGCATCACTCAATTGTTGCATTCCAACCAGCTTCAGCAAATTTGTTTGAACGTAAGGAGTTTAACAAGAATAACAAGCTAGCTGATGGGGGGGTCTTAAATGAGCAGGAAAGTAGGAATGTACCCTTTGAGGGGCTTCCAGTTTCGATCGCAGTGTCGGCAGACGTTCGGAGGGAGCGCTCTCTCTGCCGTCCAGTTTTCCTTCGTCGGGAGACCCTGAAAAGAGTCGAAAGTCGCCCTGGAGGGGCGACGACCGTGAGGAGGACCCTCGACAGATCGCGGAAGGGCGGCAGCTCTTCTGTTTGATCCGAGGCAGCTCCTTTGGACCGACGGAGAAAAGATCGGCCATTAACATGGACGATCACTAAGCCGTACCAGCCGAAAGCCAAAATCACCAAGCACAACGAAAGCACCGCGGAGGAATTGGGTGAGACCCTACCTTACCTTTCTTCTATCCCAACTACCTACCTGTAAAAGCCTCTTGAAACTTCTTCCCCCTTTTAACATCGTGGCGTCTGCTTACTTTGGGAAAATAAAGCTTTGAAAAGATAAGAAAAGAACAACTAAACTAAACAACTGAATAACCGGACTTGCACCTTTTGGATATTTGGGGTCCCAAAAAGTTCCCATTTCTACAGGGACCTATCACTTTATTCACTTGTTAACTTGGGGAAAAATTTTTTTAAATCAGATAAAAGCCTAATGTGAGTTTGGAAAAAGACTTTACATGCTAGCAGGGACATCTTGTGGCGAAGCCTGGAATAGCAAGTGAATTTTTTTGACTGTGAGAACTGCTTATTGCCTAGATTTGTCCTTGGTACTATCTAAAAAAGATAAGAATTTGAATCAGCTGGGTGGTGAAAACAACTTCTAGGAATAGTGGAGGTGGACACTCACTGACTCTTATTAAAAATAGTCTCCACTAAAGGACTATCTGTAAACACCATAGAAATGGAGGAATACTACCCACAACTTAACTATAAACTTATACTAGAAAAAATCATTGAAGCTACTGAGCTAATGAATTCCAGACTGAAAGACAAAGGTGCCACATTAAATTTACAAAATGAAGCCCAGATTCCAGCGGATGAACCTACAACCCAAAAAGCAACAGAAGAGGACCAAATTAATATCAAAGAGGATTTTATAGAACAAAAAGGACAAGCTACTGAGAACTTTGACAGTCAAACTCTGATTTCAATTAAAGAATCTGCAATTCAAAAAGCAACAGAAACCAAAGAAAGCAACACTAAGATGGAACAAGTACAACACATCGAGAATCTAGATAACCTAGACAATCCAACAACAATTACAACATTGGACATGACTTTTTACTCAAGCCTTATGAAACTGGAAGAAGAAGAAGACCAGACTGAACTGACAACAAATATTCTAAACCAAACATGGAGATTTGAACTATTAGGGCAACAGTTCAATGATGATAAAGGGGCCAGTTCCTTTGAAAAATTGATAATTGGATGGTCTCCCTTGATTCAAATAACAAGTGTAGGAATGAAGGGAGAGCCACTTGAGGATCTAGAGGCACTGGTATGGAAGCCGGTTTGGCAAAAAAAGAAAGCTAGAGTTAGACTTAAAAAAAAATGGGATTTTGTCTTTTTGGCTTATAACAGAAGAGCCTAAAATCCTATTTAATGGGATAAGGAGACTCTAAAAGATATTAATTGATTTAATATTTAGGACTTAGATTTATAAGGGAAATGAAAATTAGTTATTAGAATATAGTTTTGAATTATAATATGGAAGTTGGATTGAGACAATAAAGGATATTTTATTAGTAAGTGACGAGGTACTAGGATGAGAAATAGAATATATTTGTGAAATAAAGTAAGAATGTATTTAAGTAAACAATATGTGTATTTTAGATATGACAACTATTCTGTAATGAAATAAGGGAAATTTGGGTTACCCGAAATCTGAATATTACGAATACTAAAGGCTAAATTGGAATACTGTTATTGAAATTGGGTAAAAATTAAAAACAGGACACGGATATGTATAACTTAAAATATATTGATGTGTTTTAATTGATTGAGCTATAATTAGAAATGTATTAATTTGAATGTGATATAATAATCAAGGGAAAGAGAGGAAATCTTTGATGATGTAACCTGAGACATGTATGAAAGAGCTTGTTATTGGACTATTGATTGCCCAATCACCATGCTGCTTCCTAAACACTTGGATGTAAAACTGAAAATTAATAAAACTTGTTTATAAAAAAAAAGGAATGTACCCTTTGGGGACAAAAATCTAAACCAGGGTTTGATCATGAAGGTACACAAGAAAAAAAAGCTATTTCTATAGTTATGCCCAATACAGCAGGGCTTTTC